CTCAGCTGTGTCCCCAAACAGCCCTGGGTGTCACCAGGCGTGGGTCTGGCTGGACAAGGGGTTTGTGCAGGGCTGTAACTCAGGGTTCATCTTGGAAACTCAAACTGGAGGAGAATCGTGAAACTGGCAGTGTGAGAAAAGAACTTTTAGATCATAAAATCCAACCATCAACCAGCACCATCTCCCCCAGTGCCACATCCACAGGTGTTTGAACTCCTCCAGGTGTAGTGATTCCATCACTGCCCTGAGCAGTTTGTTCCAGTGATTTACAACCTTTCCCATAAAGAAATTTCCCCAATATCCAACCTRAACCTGCCCTGGAACAGTTTGAGGCTGTTTTCTCTCCTCCTGTCCCTGTTCTCTGGGAGCAGAGCCCAGCTCCTCCCTGGCTGTCCCCTCCTGTCAGGAAGAGCCACAAAGATCCCCGTTTTGTCCAGGCTGAGCCCCTCAGGAGGCAGATGAGGGGAGAACCTGCCTGTGGGTGCCAACACCATTCTAGAAATATCCAGGTCACCTCCTGCCACCCTCCCCAGCACCAAACTGGGAGAACTCAGTGAGCTGAGAAGGTTCTTGCCCATTCAGTGCAGAATTCCTGCTCTCAGCCTGGACCTCAGGTGGTGGGGAGAGGTCAGAGCTGTGTCCTGACCCTTTGTCCCTGTCCCTGGCTGTCCCTGCAGCTCAAGGCTCGCTGTGAAGAGTTGAAGCTGGATTGGTCGACGCTGTCACTGGAGAACTTGCTGAAAGAGAAGCAGGCCTTGAAGAATCAGATTTCTGAGAAGCAAAAGCACTGTTTGGAATTGCAGGTAGGAACAAAAGGGGAGGCAGCAGTTTGGGGTGGCTCTTGGGTAATGGGCCAGTTATTGGAGTTACACTAAATGTGATGGGAAAGGATGAGCCAGATGCTGCTTTTTGTTTCTTTTTTTTGGTTGTTTCTTTTTTTGTTGGTAGTTTTTTATTTAATTTCTTTTTCTTTGGTTGGGTTTTTTTTCAGGTTTTTTTAATTTGTTTTTAGTGGGTTTTTTTAGTTGTTAGGGTTTTTTTAAATTTTTGTTTGTTTGTTTCTTCTTTTTTCCCTTCTTTTTCTATTCCCTCAGAGATTGATCTTTCTATCAGAGGGTTTTAGTAAATAAGGATGTGGTAACTTTTTAAGGCAGTAAATCCCATGATTTGATTCCTTGRTAATGCTGTGGAAGGAGGAATCACAGAGTGACTGTTCTCTTCAGTGGCTGGCAGGACTGAGTTACCCCATACCCTCTCTATCTATTGTGTATCTCTTCTGTTTGATTTTAAGATCTGAAATCTTATTTTTCAGTGTCTCTGAGCCATTCTCCTTTCCTGGGCCTTTTGATTTCAAACTCAGACCAGAAATTTTATTTTTTTTTTTTTTTTTAAGGTCTGAAATCTTCTTTCTCAGCATCTCTGAACCATTTCCCTTTCCTGGGCCTTTTGATTTCAAGCAGAAATTTTTCTCAAACTTTTTTCTCAAACTTTTTCTTGAACATCCCTCCTTCTGCATTGTTCTCATAAGCAGAGACACTTTTACTTAGAGGAATTCGGCAGCAGAACTGCATAGATAAAAAGCGATAGAATTGTGAAGTGTGGCGTTTCATTTTTTTTTTTAACATTTTGTTTTCTTGTTTAAAGATCAGCATCGTGGAGCTGGAGAAGAGCCAGCGGCAGCAGGAGCTGCTGCAGCTCAAATCCTACACACCTTCGGAGGAGCCGCTGCCGGTGCAGCTGCACAGCAAATCCCACCTGAGCCGGGAGGCTGAGCCCGAGCAGGGCAGGTTCCAGCTGGAGCTSGAGTGCTCCAAATTCCCCCTGGGCCACGTGAACGGCATGAGCCCCGAGCTGTCCATGAACGGCCACGCCACCCCCTACGAGCTGCAGCACGCCTTCGGCCGGCCCTCGTCCAAGCAGAACACCCCGCAGTACCCCAGCTCGCAGCTGGAGCACGACATCGTGCCCTGCACCCCCAGCCACAGGGCCAGCAGGCAGGACAAGGCCACCAGCCTGGCCCTCCCCGACTACACCAGGTTCTCCCCTGCTAAAATCGCCCTGCGCAGACACTTGAACCAGGACCACGGGCTCAAYGGGAAAGCCACGGCGAGTGAAATACAGAGGTGAGAGCGAGCAACGAGGAGCTGCTCATTGCACTATTAATGTTTTTAAAAGTGGATCAAAGGTGGTTTTTAAACATCTGAAGTGTTAATGTTTTTGAAAGTGAATGTTGAGACTTTCTGAAATGTTCTTTATCAGGGTCTCTGAGCCATTCTCCTTTCCTGGGCCTTTCGATTTCAAGCACAGAGCAGAAATTTTTTTTGTTTTAAGATCTGAAATCTTCTTTCTCAGCATCTCTGAAATCTTCTTTCTCAGCGTCTCTGAACCATTTTCCTTTCCTGGGCCTTTTGATTTCAAGCAGAAATATTTCTCAAACTTAACGTCCTTCATTCTGCACTGTTCCCAGATTAATTGTTAATTTGGATGGTGGAAAGATGTTTTTGAAAGTGGATGTCGATACAGTGGTGATTTGGATGGTGGAAAGATGGATTTGGATGATGGAAAGATGTCTTTGAATGTGGATGTTGGTACAGTGTTATTTGAATGGTGGAAAGATGTTTTTGAAAGTGGATGCTGATACAGTGGTGATTTGGATGGTGGAAATAAGAATTTGGATGGTCGGAAGATGTTTTTTAAAGTGGATGTCGATACAGTGTTATTTGGATGGTGGAAATAAGTATTTGGATGGTGGAAAGATGTTTCTGAAAGTGGATGTTGGAATAGTGTTAATTTTGATGGTGGAAAGATGTTTTTGAAAGTGGCTGTTGGATACAGTGTTATTTGGATGATGGGAAGATGTCTTGGAAAGTGGATGTCTATGCAGTGTTAGTTTGGATGGTGGAAAGATTTTTAAACTGGATGTTGGTACAGTGTTAATTTGGATGGTGGAAAGATGTTTTTGAAATTGGCTGTTGATACAGTGGTGATTTGGAAAGATGAATTTGGATGATGGAAAGATGTCTTTGAAAATGGATGTTGGTACGGTGTTTGGGTGGTGGAAATAAGAATTTGGATGGTGGGAAGATGTCTTTGAAAGTATGTTGGTACAGTGCTAATTTGAATGGTGGAAAGATGTTTTTGAAAGTGGATGTTGGTACAGTGTTAGTTTGGATGGTGGAAATAAGAATTTGGATGGTGGGACGATGTTTTTTAAACTGGATGTTGGTACATGTTATTTGGATGGTGGAAAGGTGAATTTGGATGGTGGAAAGATGTCTTTTAAAGTGGATGTTTACCTATTTTTAAAAGTTTTYCTTTAAAAGTTTTGCTTGTTTTTAAAAAGTTTTTGAAAGAGAACGAGCAGTGCGAGCTGGTGGGGTGGATCAGGTGGGGCAGGAATTCCTTCTCGGTGGCTTTTGAATCTAAACAATTGCACAGAAACTAAACAATTGCACATCTCTTTTGAATCTGAACAATTGCACATCTCTTGTGAATTTAAACAATTGCACAGAATCTGAACAATTGCACATCTCTTTTGAATTTAAACAATTGCACAGAATCTAAACAATTGTACATCTCTTTTGAATTTAAACAATTGCATAGAATCTAAACTATTGCACATCTCCCTTGCAGAGCTGAGCATGTCAAAGAGAATGGCCTTACCTATCCCAGCCCCGGAATTGCAAATGGCATCAAGCTGAGTCCTCAGGAAACTCGGCCCTCATCCCCTGCAGCCTTACCCAGTGCAGGAGAGAAGGTAAAGGTGCAGCAAAGGGGGTTRGACAGGTTGGGGAGTGCAGGATTGCTGCATTCTGTGCCCTGGAAAATGACCCAAAATGCAGAGGRTGTGATGCAATAAATCCCAGCTGGTGGGAGGGAGAGGAGGATGTGCTCACCCCCGAGAACCAGAGGTGCAGGGCTCTGAGCTGGGAAAGGAGGCTCCTGCACAGTTAGAAAAATAAAGAGTAACACAAAAATGCTCCACGGGATCGGTGCCTGGATCACGGATCAGATCAGGGCTCACAGAGCAGCAGGTGCCCTCCAATAGCAGGTTGCCATGGAAATGCATCTGCCTGCTCCAGAGGGCCTCAAGATGGGAATTCTGACATCTGAGTGCTTTTCACAGAGCTCCAACCAAAACCCAGGCAAATAGGCTTGCCTGAGGCTTCCTATTCCTGTGCTCGGGGACAGTGGTGCCTTTAATTTCCACATTTCTGGGGGATGTTGCACAGGACAATTCTATTCAGAATAGGTTCTGTTCYGAATAATTCAGGATAAATTCTATTCAGAGTGAATTCTGTGGGATTTACACRTTCTGGGGGATGTTGCTGTCCCAGGAGCCTGGTGCTGGTACCAAGCAGTGCTCTTAGCCCTGTCATTCCTTAAAAAAAAGAAGGTGGGGAGCAACACAAACATAGAAATGAGTGAATTATCATTAACTTAAAACCCTTCCCAGCAATACCCTGTGTAAGAACTTTCCTTTCTCTTTGGATTTTGCAGGTTTTGAGAGAGAGAACCTCTGTGAGTAATGGAGAAACCATCACCAGCCTTCCTATCAGTATTCCTCTGAGCACAGTGCAGCCCAATAAGCTCCCTGTTAGTATCCCTCTGGCCAGCGTAGTCCTACCTAGCCGTGTTGAGAAGGTGGTGAGTAAGGGATTGTTTCCATCCCTAAAATATCCCCAGGGGGCAGAAATGGGGTTGCTGGGCCCAGGGTCCTTCCTGGGCTGCTRATCCTGGAGGTCTGAGCCTTGGGGGAGGCTGCATCCTCTTGGCTCTGACATCCTGGAGGTTTTTCCTCCCCTGGAGGTTTTTTTCCTCTCCTGGAGGTTTTTTCTCTTCTGGAGGTTTTTCTTCTCCTTTTTCTGTGGGGTAGGGGTTGGTTTCAGCCAGGAAGAAGAGTGAAATAAATGCCTCAGGAAGTGCTGGCTGAGTGGAAAAGCTTGAGGGTTTGGGGCAGTGAGAGCAGAGAATTGCACAATTCTCAAATGTCAATTYGAGAAACTGAACAAAAGTCAATTTGAAAAATTGAAGAAATGTCAATTTGAGAAGTTGAACAAGTGTCAATTTGAAAAATTGAACAAATGTCAGTTTGAGAAATTGAACAAATGTGCATTTGAGAAGTGGAACAGATGTCAATTTGAGAAATTGAACAAATGTCAATTTGAGAAATTGAACAAATGTCAATCTGTTCTTAGCCCTGCTTTCAGCAGGACCCCAGGAGGGAATTGTCCTGCCTCAATCACCTCAGAGCTGTTTGTTCCCCTCACCCGTGTACAGGGTGGGTGACATCTCCMATGGGAGGGACTGGTTTGTAGCAGAGCTCCTGGGCCACATGGGATGAACCCCTGCCCCTCTGAGGGAGGAGGAGTCCAGAACTGCCCCAGGTCCAATTCCTCACCCCAGTTTGGCACAGAGGAGCTGCAGAAGAGAGCTGAGGGCTCTGAGTTCAGGATCCATCCCTGGCTGGTCTCACAGTCCCTTATGGGCAAAGCTGGAGTTGGTTCAGTGTTGAATCCATGGGATTTTTCCAGCTGAAAATTCCTGGTTTTAGCAGAAACAAGAGTCTGCCCAGCTCAGAGCTGGCCCTGATATTGTGGGATGAAGATCCTCCCTCAATATTCTGGGATGAAGAGCCTCCCTCAATATTCTGGGATGAAGAGCCTCTCTTAATATTCTGGAATGGATGAAGAGCCTCCCTCAATATTCTGGGATGAAGATCTTCCCTCAATATTCTGGGATGGGATGAAGAGCCTCCCTCAGTATTCTGGGATGAAGAGGCTCCCTCAATATTCTGGGATGAAGAGCCTCCCTCAGTATTCTGGGATGGATGAAGAGCCTCCCTCAATATTCTGAGATGAAAATCTTCCCTCAGTATTCTGGGATGAAGAGCCTCCTTCAGTATTCTGGGATGGATGAAGAGCCTCCCTCAATCTTCTGGGATGAAGAGGCTCCCTCAGTATTCTGGGATGAAGATCCTCCCTCCCTGCCTGGTGTCTGCTGTGTGCTCGGTTCACTGTGATTAATACAATTAACCACAACATTTTGGGGTCATAACTGATCCAGTTTTTCCCAAAACGAGCTCAGTCTGGGACATATACAAAGCAGAGCCATGGCAGATGTCCTAATGCACATGAATTTGGTTTAAAATGTGGATTTCTGACACAGTTTCCTGCCCTGAAACACCTGTTTCTCTCTCTCCAGAGAAGCACACCCAGCCCAGTTCACCAGAGCAGAGACTCAGCGACACTTGAAAAGCAGATTGGTGCTAGTTCTCATAATGGCATGAGCAATGCTGCTGGAAACAAGCCTCTGGCTTTGGCTACCTCAGGTAACAGCCTCACCTGCCCATGGGTAACTAGGGGACACCACAAACTCCTGGCTAATGCTTTTATGGGCCCCCAACTTGGGTGGCTCTGGCATAAAGGGTTGGGTTGGTGTGCCTTGACCTGCCTCGGAGCAGAAATAATTAATTGCTTTGATAAATTCTATGGGGATTGAGAGATTCACACAGAGTTACAGCCTGGCAAACTTCACAGCTGTGCTCTGAGCTGGTGATCTGKCTCTGAAAGTTTTGTTTTGAAGGTGGTGGGGTTTTTAAAGAGCTGGAAGGATTTTTGGGGTGGGTTACAGGGGTGCCACTATAAAGGCACAAATCCCTGGGTGGGCAAAGCTCAAATGGGAGAGGCTGGGATCCCTTTAGGTGCAGGCATTGCCTCTGAACTCACTTAAGTGTGGCAATCATGGCCTTTAGCTGCTCTGGGAATGCTGTGGGCCAGGARAAGTGGGTTCTACAGCTGATCCCTCACCAGAGAGTGCATTTATTCTCTGTGTTCACCTGCCCGAGGGGCTTGGGTTGTTTCAGCATCTGTTTTGCAAAGGCCTTGGCTGTGTTTGTCYATAAARCCAATGAAATATTTAAAAARCCTTGTTGTAAACCCATGACCRTGTTCCCCTTTCATKCAGAGAGCCCAGGCCTTACCAGAGCCCTAAACCCATTGGTGACACCCCGTGATAAACACTGAATTCCCTGCCCAAGATTCCTCCCTCGTGGCATTTTCCTGCCACGATGCCTTTGAAGATCCCTGTGCCTTCCYAAGTCACAGCCTTCAGTTTAATTTGGACAAGAGGGGCWGTGGGGWTGGCAAAGTYCTTCTTTTTTTGGGAAAGGGAATGATTGATCTGGCCATCATTTCCTTGATGYGAGGAAGGAGCTCAGAGTAGAGGAGCTCTGATTTTGGAAGGTGTAACACTCAAAGCTTCCAAAGCAAAGAAAGCTTGAATTCCACAAAAAAATGGGAAGAGCATGCATTCTATGGGATACTCCATGTACCATGTGCATTTTCCTGCCCTGGCAAGGGARCAGTGAAAATCCCTGAACCCAAAGGGGCACCCCAGAGCCGCACTCTCCCTGCCCTGTGGAAGCACAGCCATGCATTTCCCATGTAACCCAGGCAGAGCTGGAGCCCCTCCCGGCCCTCCCAGCCCCATGCTTGGTTTCCTCTTGCTCAGCCCCAGCAATGATCTATACTTTCCCTCTCAACAGGTTTTTCTTACTCTTCTGGCTCCGTGGCAGTCAATGGAAATCTTACAAACAGCCCAGCCCATCTTAACCATAGTGTTGATCAGGCAGCTCTGGACGACTGCGGGAGTCTCTTTAACTCTGTAGGGTCWCGGAGTTCCACTCCACAGCATCCTTTGCTAATGATGAGGAACTCTGGGCAGAACTCCCCTGCTCAGCAGCACTCCAGCCCCCGCTTAAGTGGCCCGGCCCCGAGCCTGGCAGGGGGAYTGCAGGGTGCAGAGGCTCAGAAGATCTTTGCCGAAGGAACAAAGGGGGACCCGCARGCTGACGCGGCGTTTTCGGACCCCGAGAGCGAGGCCAAGAGGAGAATCATCTTTACAATCTCTCCTAATACAGGCCATGTAAAACAATCCCCTTGCAGCAAGCACAGCCCYGCGGGCGGCCAGCCCCACGGCCAGGACGGCAAGAAGCGCGGCCGGCGGAAGCGATCGTCGGCGGGCACTGCCAGCGGGAAYGCCGCCGTCTCCCCGAAACGCAAACCCCTGCCCTCCGTGGCCGGGCTCTTCACGCAGCCCTCGGGGTCACCTCTCAATATCAACTCCATGGTAAGCTTGTGGAATCCAGAATCTGATCCTCTTGGAATCAGGAGAAGCTCTGGAGGCTCCTCCGTGAAGGCTCTGCTGCAGCAATTCTCCTGTGTCTGGTTTGCACCGAGCTGGGGGACAGTTTTCTTCCTGGTCAGGTGGGATTTGGTGTCTTTCTCCAAGCAGCAGCTGCAGAATRAGAGGATACAGCCTTGGAAKTGTAGGTTGAGTATMAGGAAAWAGTTCTTTACAGAAAGAAAAGCATTGGGATGATTTGCCCAGGGAGGTGGTGGAGTCACCATCCTTGTGGTGTTTAAAGAGAGTCACCATCCTTGATGTGTTTAAAGAGAGATTSGATGTGGCACTCAGTTCCATGTTTATTTGAGGTATCAGGGCATGGGTTGGATTCAATCTTGAAGGTCTCTTCCAACCCTGATGATTCTGTGATTCTGTGTATAAACAGAACTCCAAAGAGTTCTTTGCTGTCAGAGCATTAAAAATTCAAAATCGTCTCTTCCCTCCTGACAAAGCTTGTTTCTGCGACGAAGTTGATTTTTGAGGGCTGTGGATTCAATATTTTGAAAATAGTTTAAGCTAAGATTGACTCAACAGCAGAGGAGTGCCAGAAGCATATGGCATTCCTGCTAATGAAGCCAGCTAGAGAGCTGCGTGCGTGCCATCCTGCAGGGTGCTTTGAGAAGAAAAGGTTTATCCCAGGTCTTCATTTCTGCCTTCAGAAATCAAATCAAGGAATGATAATTAGCTGTTTTCCYGAGTTATATTTAAGCTTTCTCCCTGGTTTCTAAAGAAGGAGGGAGAATAAAGCTCCAGCAGCTATGGGATGTCCCAGAGCGAGTGAAACCTGCATGAATGTCCTTTACAAGATGCCTTTCAGGGGATGCTCTCATCTGTAACTGCTTTCTTTCCTTCTCACCCAGGTCAATAACATTAACCAGCCCTTAGAAATAACAGCCATTTCCTCTCCTGAAAACTCCCTGAAGAACTCTCCTGTTCCTTACCAGGACAATGACCAGCCWCCCGTGCTGAAAAAGGAGAAGCCCCTCGTTCAGAGCAACGGTGTCCATTACTCCCCCCTGACATCGGATGACGAGCAGGGCTCTGAGGATGAGCACAATAGCAGCAGGTGAATGCACAGGCAGGATTGCAGGAGGAGGTTTAACTCTGCTCTGAGCAGGAGGGGAATGTTTGGGTCTCTTTGTTTCCTTTGCTTGATCCCGTTATCCCAAACCTCTTGTGCAGCTGAAGCCCTGAACAGGGGAGGCATTCAGGAAACAGGGCTGGAATGTGGGAACCACCTGCTGCTGCTGTGTTTGTGAGGCTGCCATGGTCTGGCCTCTGAGAGAGCTGGGGGAGAAATTAGGTGATGGAGAGAAATGGAGGAGACTGAGGGGAGACTCCTYRGGGGCTGAGCTCTGCTCTGGGACAGGGCCAGGAGCCCAGGGAACGGCTGGAGCTGTGTCAGGGTTGGGATGGATCTCAGGGAAAGGTTCTTCTGTCCCCAGAGGGTGCTGGCACTGCCCAGGCTCCCCAGGGAATGGTCCCGGCCCCGAGGCTGCCAGAGCTGCAGGAGCGTTTGGACAGCGCTGCCAGGGATGAACAGGGTGGGGTTGTTGGGGTCTCCTTTGTAGCACCAGGAGCTGGACTCCATGATCCTTGGGGGTCCCTTCCAACTCAGATATTCTGGGATTTCATGATTTCCTTACTATGTTGTTTTGTAGAAACATTGCAGGGGTGTCTGATCTCTAACCGAGGATCTGTCTCCTGCTCACTCCCAGTTTGAAGCTTTGTTTAAAATCCTTCAATTTCTACCCCAAACTATTGATGACTTCCCCTGGAAATGGGTTCCTTGCCATCCTTTGCCTGCCTGTGGGTGCAATATTTTTCTTGGTTAAGATGCTTCAAAACTGCCAGAGRGCAGGGATGGATGGGATATTGGGAAGGAATTGTTCCCTGGGAGGGTGGGGAGGCCCTGGCACAGGGTGCCCAGAGCAGCTGTGGCTGCCCCTGGATCCCTGGCAGTGCCCAAGGCCAGGCTGGACATTGGGGCTGGGAGCAGCCT